CCCAGCCAGCCATGTTGGCTGGGGAATTCTGGGAGTTGAAGTCCACATATCTTAAAGTTGCCCAGGTTGACGAACACTGTGTTAGAGGATTTCTGGCTCCCTCTACGCAGGCAAAAATCCACAGGTCTTCCTGGTAGAGATAGGCAGAATATGCTTTAATAACATTAAGGGAAAACTTCATCTGTTAAATTTCCAGTATGGAAAAATACAGAAATTATAGTGCAATTGAAGCAAGTATATTGTTCTTTTAGAGCCAGCAGCTGTACAGTAATAAATAAAATGGTACGTTTTAGCCACTTGATTCGCATGTTCTAAATAAAATCCCATTTTCTTCTTTTTAAAATAGAATTATGCAGAGCCCTGCTTTCAAAGAAAGCTGTGCAGTGTTTTGTTGATGTAACGTTTTGGATTTTCATTCCGTCTTCCTTAACACAAGCAGAATAAAAATCCTAATGACTCAATTTGCATCTGAGGTTGAGAAAAACGTAAGGCTATAATTTAAAAAAGGAATGTTATGATGAACGTCGCTGTAGGCCTCGGTGTAAAATGGCACCTTATGCTGGGAGGTGGGTGGATGAGAAGATACCTGCCAAGACTTCAGAAATAAGGACATGTTTATTTCAGACCCAAAGATCTGTTTTCCTCCTGTCTCCCAAGCTCTAAAGGAACAGTTGCTTTTTAAATCCAATGGACCAAGGCATTGAAATAATGATTTCTTTATATAAACATCATAACTGTATATGTGCATCAGAGCCACAGAACTTTTTATGGTTGAATTTCTTAAATGGTTTTAAGGGCCACGATTCTAATTTTGATGCCCCCCAGGTCTAAGTGAATGGAGCCCAACCTATAAAGGTTAACGAAGTGACTTCCCCACCCCTCTTCCCAAATAAGCAAGGTATCAGGGTTGAAGATGAGAAGATGAGAAGCTATGGTTCTCAGGCCAGGCTGAGTCATTACTGTAGGTTAACTTTGGGAATTAAAACTCTTGAACACAGATATGTATGCATGTATGTATGTGTATATATGTATATGTATATATAAATAAATAAATAAGGCCTAGACTGCCGTGAACTGTATCAGGTAGATCTTCTGCACATGTATGACTTCTTCCTTTTCTGCAATAAAACTACTTACCTATCTGTGACCAGTGTTTGCTGCTAGCTACCTACCGAACACAGAGCAGAGTTTCAGAAGAGGCAGGATTTATTTTCATGTGCCAGAGAGAAATCTGGAACAAGGAAGTCAGTTTCATACATTTTCCCCAGTTTACCTATGAAGGGCATCAGTTGAGAAAGTGATTCCTTTGCATTTCTACTCAGAAATTAATCTCTTTAGGTTCGTTACGCCCAGACAAGCAAAATATGAGGTAGCAGCTTCCGTTCACAGAATTAAATAATAAATTCGCTCCACAAATAATACAGTAGCAGGTTTTTAAAAATTTCCCATGCAGGGTTTTTTTTTAGAATTCCTTTTGCGGGTTTTTTGTTGTTGTTAATTTTTCTGGTGAATACAAAGCCAACTATGGAAGCATCTATTTTTTTTTTTGCTTCCTATAAAATATTTGGGTAGATCCCTTTTGGTCCTGTGCACCTCTGTACACACCTATTCACATATGAGTTCAGTTACATTCAGTAAGACTTTTTCTCAAGGCAGAGAATAGCAACATTGCCTCTTTCTTAGCCCAAATTTAACAGCCCAGGCCCCAAGAGATTGCTGATTGCGGACAAAATCTCCTCCATCTCCTGATTACACTGCCTTTTAATATCATAAACACAGTATCTCTAGGGGAACCCCCCCCCCCATTTATAATTCAGTGTTTTCAAGGTTTCCTCCTCACTCTAATTGTAAACTTCAACATTGTGCTTTAAAATACAAATAGCAGTCTTGAATGTAGAGAACCAGAAGCTGAGTAGAAGGAGAGTCATCCGTCTTCTTTCTGCAACATTTTTATAATCGGGGACTATTTTGATTTAAAGGACTGCTTTTTAAGTGTGTGATTTTCCACCTGCAATATAAAGTGAATGAGTGAGATAGAAACACCCTATCACTGTGAGGGGAAATTATTTACCGGTCTGCAGGAGAAGATTAGATGTTGATGAAGATAAGCTTTTGATCACAGGACAAATGGCTGTACAGAACTTGATATTTTTTGGCCTCACCATCTGACAGCTGTTATCATATGCCTATCTGTATTTGAACCAATTCATCCAATTTGACAAACAAGGATTTTACTACTACTAGACAAAGACCTGAATTGCAGATACAGTCTACAGCAGTATTTGTCAACCTTAGCTGCTTGAAGATGTGTGGACTTCAACCCCACCATTTCCCCCCCCAACCAGCCTGAGGCGTGGGTGTGTGTTGGTCAGCAGACCGCCCAAATAGAGATCTATGGCATCGAAAAAGGAGTGG